TATATATTTATATTTTCTGTATTTAAAGAATATAGGGGAGGAAAAATGACTGAAAAGATCTATATATAACCAGCCTAACATTGTATAATTGATTATAACATTAGCTAATGAAGAATATATCAGTATCCTTGCATTGAAGCAAATATGACTTATAAACATTTCAGAAAATGTTAGCGGAGGCATTTTCAAGAAGCAGTGCAATGCATGTACAACCATGACATTTAAGTTGTTGTTGTTATTATTATTGCAGCAAAGGCAATGCCACTATTTTGTGAAATGCAAGTCTACATGAGATGAATATATCATGCAAAGCAAAAGCAACAGAAAACAAAAACTGGGGAAAAAATTAGCACACACACATACACACACAAAGCAAGTAAAAGCTCTTACTGTGTAACAAGCTCGCCAAAGTTTTCATCAGGGCAGAATTTTCGAGGACGGCCTCGCTGAATATGACGGCCACGTTTAAACTCTTCATCATCAACAGTCCAAAAGGACCCAAACTCATCCTCTACTCTGATAAAGCACTTATGCAGGGATAGGTTGGTGCGAATAGCACCCTGGGATAAGACCAGCAGCAAACGAGATGAATTGGAAACAAAGGGGCATGGGATTGGGGAAACAGAACAGACATCAAATACAGGGAAAAGGAAAAAAACAAAACAAAACAAAAAAAGAAAATAAAATGCAATAAGCATAAGCAAATGGATTGTGAGGGTTAATATGCATTGCCACCTAAAAGCTACTAGCATGTGATGCAGAACAAACACCAAGCAAGCAAGGGCAAAGGGGACTGCTGGGCATACAAATGGTAGTGATGAAATGCTCTCTGTTGCTTCACCTTGACTGTCACAAGGTGAAACTCTCTGGGTTGATCTAGAACACCATCTAGCAGCCAAAGCTTCTATGTTAAAACTGTAAGCATGATCCAAGCTAGGCTAAGAAGTTCAAACATGGTGGACATACCCACTGATCTTTTGTGGCCTTCGTTTTTGGAACTCTATTTCATCCACTGTCCATACTGCCCCTTTAACGTTTTCTACTCGCACAAAACACTTGTGAAGGCTAAGATTATGACGCACTGCATTCTGCAGCAAGTATAAGAGAGAAAACATTGGGAAAAAAAAAACTTTCCATGAGAAAAAGAGTCTTAGCATTCTCCATGAACAGCAGCATTGTCAGCTGGCAAGTCCCCTTTCCCTCATCCCACCCTCCACACTGGACAATATATTTATAACTTGTAAGATTTGCAAAAGAAAGACTGTGAAAACCATCCTTTGAGTCCTTTATTAGGAGTGATAATTTTAAGAATAATTTAAGCTTGGCAATAACACAACATTACAATAACTTTACACTTGTATATTACCAGGGACTTTTATTCAGTATTCAATCAGTTAAAATAGAATAGATATTTTCTGTAAGAATAGGGCTCAAGTACGTATATCCTCTTCTGGAAGAAGGAAAACTACAAAGAAAAATAATTTTGTGCAACTGCTGAAAATTTAATTGTTCTTATTATATTTTCATGGCCTAGAAATTTAAGAAACATGAAGTAGTTCTATACACTAATATCGTGGCAATCCATTTTGGAAATCTATCCAACCAAAGCCTGCTATGATTATATTCTTGTTCTTCACCACATCTTCCAGTATGGAAGATAGCTTCTGTTCCTGATTACTGGAGTTGGAACCATGAAGCAGATGACTTTAATATCCCATAATATTCACCATCTGTGGTACAAACATTGCTATTATTCTCAAAATTATGAATCTAGTCATGTTTCTGATAATTTCAACAGTTTAATCAAACCATAATGGTCTTTATGATTATTTATTAAATTTGTACACCGCCCAGCTCCCGGTAACTCTGGGCGGTTCACAGTTTAGTCTTAGGCTGAATTCACACAAAGAATTGTAAAATCCTCCATTATACTGAAGCTCATGACTGCTTTATTACGCTTTTGTCTTATTCTTTCAATCCCTAGCACTGGATTTATCAACTTTCAAGACAGTATTATGCTGGAAATTTAAACAGCCTTAGATATGCCTAAACTGATTATGGACAGATTTCTAACAAATTCTACTTAAAGGTACAGTCATTCACAACTGATACCCAGTAGAAAAAAAGTAGGCAAAGAATATGTAGGTTGTTAACTCACATGTACCAATAATCAATGGGGAGGCTAGTTTACAAGCATAATGCCAGAGAAATATATGGACAGATGTTTAAATGTAATGCTATGTGGGAAAGACCTTGGAAGACTGGGCTGAGAGATGCTGCCTAGGGAATGGTCCGATAAAAGACTGCACAGGCTGCAGCTGGATAGTGGGTGGGGCAAGAGGCTCAGAAGAGACCCTCCCTAGTTTCTCAGGCTATAAAGGAGACGTGGGGGTGGGGGAGGGATTGTACTTTCAGACTTGCAAGATTCTCTTCATCTAGCTTTACAATAAAGTAGAATTAGCTCATCTAGCCATGTCTCCCATCTGGTCTATCTACTAAGGCTGACATTAAATAAATAAAAACCAAGTCCCTCATTCACAAATTCAGGTCTACATAGTGAAAGGCATTCCAATCATGACTGTCTACATTTACTGTGCAAACTAAGGTTAGGCATAACACATTTATCATATTAATTAAAACAGTAGAGGGAAGTCTGAGCCACATGGGGGAGGGGATTCCAAGAATAATTTGATATTGCAGTTCCACAGCATAACTAATTTTCTCACCCTTGTAACACATCTGTTTCCTCAAAAGAGGCTAAACAGACAGTCCATGTTCTCAAACAAATGTAGGGATGTATCTATTTTTGGCAGAAAGACAGTTAATAAATCACCAGAGAATCCTGTAATTATGTAGGTTGAAACTGGTGAGGAACCATAAAGCGAGTTAGCAACTTCTGCTCATGACAAAGGAAAATCCAAGTCTTCAATGAAATAAAACCCATCCCTAAATTCCTACAGCACCATTTCTACATATGTAAGGATTTTGGCTTATTTCAAATTATTTCATTTTTGAAAACATGTTTAAGAATTCTTCCCAGGCTACTGTTCTTTAGTCAGGAGAGGCCTGCTAACAGGGTAGTGCGTGTGTGTTAATAGGAGGAGTGCTGCACCCAGAACAGCATATGCAGGATGGGGAAGAACATGGCAGATCAAATGCATTTTCAGATTCATAAGAAAGGAAGGGATTACATTTATATTGCAATTCCGTAACTGTCTGTAGGAACAGAACCAGTGTAGATTTTCAGAATCCCTTACAATGCTTTTGTTGATAATAAAAAGGAAGATTTCTTTCTCTCTGTGAAGCAATGCTTTTTGAATAGTTCCTGAAGTATGCAAGGGACATAGTCACTGAAGGAAGGCAGAATTGCAAGGGTGGGGGGAAGATGTCATAGTTGGCATATTTATTTCATTATATATGAAAAAGAAAACAAGACAAAATGAATGCTATTTACCCTCAAATAAAACTATATTTAATTGTCTAGTAATCTGTCTGTCAGTTCTCCAAGATGAAATCAGTAAGAGCTTATACTCATTTGCTCCGAATTTCAATTGGTCCAAATAAACTTTGTATGATCTGAGCTGTGTTCCAGAAGACCTGAATTACATTCACAATAATTGCATGCCAAATCTTTAGACTGTTCTCAGCTATTAAGGGACACAAGTATTCCTGGATAACACAGTTTCCATGGATCCTTATAAATACTATGTCAAAATCTAAAGATACTAGGCTTTGGGCAGCTGAGTTCAGAAATACCTGTCTCTGCCAAAGATTTATATTACATTTTTGGTTTTGAGTAGTAATTATTTCCAATTAGATCAGATTTTGCAACCAAGCAGCAAAAAGACTATTATTTTCCTTTGATCTTTACCCCCATCATCAGGGATATTGAAGCATTTTCTTTTCATTTAGCTATCTCACTAGTCATCTTCATGTACACATATATTTATAATAAAGTGTTAATCACTGAAAAGAATCATCATTTGAGAATTCAGTTGGATGTAAACAGCATCAAGTTTTCCTCTATAATACTATTGACAGTATAAATATGTCAAAGTATAGAATAAGAATTTTTCTCTTTCAGATCTGTTGTTTTCCTCTAGAATAGAAAAAAAAATATCTTAAAGCAATATTCACCATGTGAATCTGGCGCCAACACTGAATGTTAGATTGCAGAAACTTAAATGAATGCTTGTCTTTTTTTTTTGGAGAGATGTCTGAAGACTAACGAATTCTGCTCTGGGGATATGTAACTAAATCATACAGATGACACCTTTCAAAATCCTATCCATGCAGGTTAAAATGACATTTGGTCAAAGTGCAGTGATCACTGATCAGATCTAGCTGATTATGGAAAAAAAACAACTGGCATTTTAGGCTCTGTGAAATAAGAAGATAACTTGCCCAAGGCCATCCAATGAATTTAATTGCCATGATAGTGGTATATTCATGACGACGATGATAAGAAGAGCAGTAAAATATTTGATCTAGGATGTTCCATGCCCAATTTCAGGACACTTTCCATACCCACACAAAATTGGCAGAGAAGTCCATGTCACTTGTTATCTGCCTTGAACAGAAGTTCACTGGAATTAAGTCAATAGATATGATCCAGAAGAGAGTATGTTTTTCCTTTTTTTCTGGCAAAGTTTTAATTTCAGAATAGGATCTAATTTTCTATTTTGAGTTGTCATTTAAGTTTCTTTCCTCTTCCTCCTTCTCCTCAAATCAAAATTTGAACTTTCGGCAACAATTTTTTTAAAGGAGATAAAACTTCTGGAACCATGAGAAACTAGTAAGTGTGTACCAATGATGTTTACTTCTTTAAAAGCTATTTTACCAAATTCCCCAAGGACTTTGGAAATTGAAGGAGGGGGAGGGATAAACAGCAGTTTGAGATTTTAGGAAGAAAGAACATCTTGGAAGGAAACTGCAAAAATATTCAGGTGCCAGGTGTGCCATTCTGGATTGCAGCCAGATTAAAAGAAAAGAGTATTCTATAGGAATTTACGTACATTCAGAAATTAAGTAAATGGAGCCAAACTATTGAAATTTAAAGCACCAGGGGTATTTGTTAAATCGCTAGCTTTAATATTTTTATTGGCTTGTGACTTTACTGCTGTGCCCAATTAACCTGTATTGTGCTTCATAATAAACTAGCAAATATTTTTAGAAGTTGGCATATTAATTTAAGGCAGGTGTATCAGTTGGCAGGCTGTAAAGCTAATTTTCTATGAATCTTTGTAAAAGCACTTTGTGATTTTCACGAAAAGATTGTATACATAAAGCCACCAACTGATTAATCATCCTTTCCTCTTGTATCTTAGCAGCTGAAATATTTCACTGCTAGGAGCAACTATAGAGATGGACTAGTAGTTCAATCACAACATGCAGGAAAAAACACTAATAATAGGTATTCAAATCGGGGCATTTCAAAGGCAGACTTTTTTTTCTGCCAACTAACAAACTGTTTGTGCAGGTAAGAGGTACCCTATGTGTATCAAAACAACTGATCTGTATTTCAAAGTCCACAATTGGATATGTCTGTGGTGTTTTCTATTCTGTACATTCTAAATTGTAAAGCAAGAACCATACAAGGGAATACAGCATACCTTCCACGTTGCTGCATTGCGTCTGAAGTAGGCAAACATACGTGTGAACCAGTTGTAGATTTCATTTAGTGTTAGCTGCTTTTCTGGAGATTCAAGAATTGCCTGTAAAGCAATTAAAATGCAACAGTGATCAGAAATACGCTTACACATTTGTTTGAATAAATAAAACAAAATGGAAGTCAGAGCAAAATAAACACTTGCACTAAGATGGAAGTTTAGTGGTTGTACTTAATAGCTCAATGGCAAAACTGAAAATGAAATTATCTAATTGTTTTGAGTTTTATTTCTGTTTCCTTACAGAAATATTAATTTATTAGTCATTCATAGAGCAGAATCAAAGAAAAATGCAAAACATTTCACTAGCTGATTAAAGCTTAGTAATTATTTTGAGCTCAGATTAATTCTAGGGATCAGAGATTACTATAGCTTGTGATAATTGACTTGCCATCTTTAAACAGGCTCATTTTCAGTGTTGTGTGAAATGAATTTCCTAATAATCACATCGTATTGTAATACTTAATCAAAAGCAATTATGGTATATGTATTGCAGTTGTGGGGAGGAAAAAACCCATATAGCAAAGGTGTCAGCATGCCTGTATTAGCTAATCATCTGTTCTGCCTATAGCAACACATATATGTACAACCCTGGATCTAAGCAGGCTTTTAGGGATGGTATCACTTACCTGCCTAATTAAAGATGCATACGTAAAGGGTGGCCTGACTTCTGCATTCTTGTAGAATTCTTGGTTCTGCGCAATATCTGCTAAATAAAGGAGAAAAGTCCTCATATTAGCCATGGCTCATAGTTTATAAGCTGTATTTGAATGAGAAGAACGAAACATTTTTTCTATATGGCTATCTAGTTACCTGAGGAGATGGGCACATTGTATTTATCAGAGTACCGCCTTCGGATAGGCCCAACGTTGTGCATGCTGGTAGTAGTGATGACAGAAGGTCCCTGGGTAACAGGAGTGATGGGTGCTGTCGGGGTGGTGGGAGTATGAGGTAAGCTCTGTGGAGAAGCCTCTGACGCAGTCTTTGAAAGCGTGACATTAGAGACAAGATTCAACTATTAAAACAGAAAAAGAAACCAATTTAGTTTGTTAACAAACACACTGCCCCCATTCTTTCCCCATGCACTGACATGGTTTTTATAATTAAGACTATGAACGGCAGATTGAGAATCCTTTGGTTCTTGTACGGCATGGAAAAAAAACCCTTCTGTAATATAGTGATCAAGGTGTTAGGAGTAGGACTGGGGAGACAGTTACACATCCTCAACTATGGAAACTCACTGGCAGAATATAAATCAAAGTAGTAAGAAGTATGCAATAAATTGATATAACTTTGAATATCACAACACATTCATAACTTTGTTCCCTACCTGCTCAATGCCTTGCAGTAGAACCATGATAATGTAGATGGATATTACAAGTTTATTGAGATTATGTAAGCAGATGCTTCAATTTTTGAACACTGTATGAGTAAATAACCTGATGAAGCCTTGTTTTTCCATTTATAAAGATATATGAATGATTGTGCAACAATCGCTTTGTGAGATGGGCAGCTATATAAATGTGATGTATAAATAAAAATAAATAAAACAAATATAGCTTTAAAGTGAGGCTATGAAGTAGTAAGTGGAGCCTACTGCAGATGAGTTAACCCCAAAACAGTGCAGGTTTCATTAAGAAAAAAAGCCCTAGAAGCAAATTGATCAAATATTTACTTTCCACACTATAAGAGATTAATCTTTTTAAAAAATCTCTCTTATCCTGAGTCACAGTACACAATTGGCCAGTAATAATTCTGGCAATCTGAGGCTGTAATCACAAACATCCTTCATTGGAAAGTGGTCCTTTAAAAACACTGATATTTCGGGTCAGTATGGAACTATTGATTTTCTGGCCTTAGGAAGAATTTAAGGAGACACAGCTTTCCTCAGCCAGGCATAACAAACAGCACCAGCCAAACTGGCTGCTTCTTTAGAATTATCCAAGTTGAAGCTAGAGAAGACATTCCCTCCTTCACACCCGCACCTTCTCCTCTGCAATGGATGCAGCCTCTTTTAGAAACAACCAAGAAAAACATGGGGATACCTGCATGTATTTTCATGCCCAAACAGTTCTGACCCTCAACAACATCACGAAGGTTGCAGGCATATGTTCAACTTACAAGGCCATCCCACTGAAGTCAGCGGGTCTTTCTTCTGAGAAATTAAGTTACAGGATTACATTTGAAATCTGGGAAAAATAGCAGGTCTTTCTTTCAGGCAGTTAACACACACACAAAAATGCCTAAAGTACTTTAAAGTATTACAAATTAAAAGAATACGTATTGGATCTACACAACCAGACTTCTCATGGACTGATAATTGCAGAAAATTGCCTTTAGCATTCAGGATTTAAGAATTTATATTGGTGTCACTGATGCTTTCTTTCGGTTCCTTGAGGAAAATTAGCTGCATTATTTTAAGGTAATTTTCTTAAGAAAGTATACAAAGTGTCCTATGAAAAGACAGCAACTCTTTTTCTAATATCTTAAGAATTGTTGTTATTGTTATAAATAACAGTTTTAAAATTTAAATGTTCTTTTTGTTTCATCTATGGTGTTAGGGCATTTTCATGAGAAATAATTAGTTGAAAAAAAAAAGTTGTGACCACTGGATTCCTTATTAATTTTCTTTCTGTTGATTTAACACAAACAATCAATAATGTCTCTCACATATGTTTTTTTGTTAGAGTTACCTGGATATTTTACAAATAATATATCTTCTTATTTGCACTCTAACTTGAATACTTGAAATGGGCTGGGTTACAGAAAAACTAAACAAAATAAATCGATATATAAAATCTACAAATGTTCACATATAAGAGAATAAGATATCCCCAGGTAATCACCATGACAAGTCAACTGTCAGGAAAAAAAAATGCTTAACTGAATCATGCATATACATTTTTACTTTGGTAATGCAAATTTTGTATCGGAATCAGATTCAGAAAAACAGACTGAACCAAGCTCTCAAAGCTATTTAAAGGAAATTATCATGATGGGTTGACAGAGATGGAGGGAGTAAATAAATAAAACTTCTGGAGGGTAGACAGTAGGAAAGAACTGTTAGTCCATGTGAACTCAGAAGCACTTGTTTGGCTGATGTCAGCAGACAACCCTATTCAGGGATCAATATAGCTACTATCAGAATTCAGGAGGCGCCTGAAAAAGCTCTCCCATTACTGGGGGAGAGGCGACACAACTGCCCTTACTCCAGACACTTGGGATACTTAGAATTGGGAAGCAGAACTTGAGAGTGTCCCTCTTCATTCCATTTTCTTAGGTACACTTCCTTCTGACGAACTGTTCCTTCATTTGTGCATATAACAAAGAACAGCATTTCATTAGCAAAAGCAGCAATGGGGTGGGGGCGGAGGACACAGATTCCTCCCAAGCTCTTTTTCTTTTCCGGCTATTATTTGCGGCCAACAGCATCTATCTGAATGTCTGTGTATTTCTGGAATGTAAACATCACAGGGGGAGTTAAGAAAGAAAACCAATCCTCACACAACTTGATAGAGAAGAAGCAGAGAAAGGTGGAGTGATAAAATTAATTTGTCGAAAAGGGATTTAAAAAAATAAATAAATTCTGATTTAGAAGATGCTTTTCTACCCATCAGATGCCCAAATGACAATGGAGTATTGAAGTATACTATGGGAATGTTGGTCTGGAACTTTTATCTTAGGCTTGTCTCAGGTTCTTATTGTATGATGATTTTGCTTTCAAAACAGTACTGCAGTGACATGAGATGACAGTCACAGACTTCGAAATGACCTATGACTGCATTCTCGCTTGAAAACACAAGGTATCTGCCTTCAAATACTAACTTATGCAAAAAGGAAAGTGCAGATAGGCTATCTTACGTTCTTTTATTTGGGAGAACTGGCTGATTGCATTTTGCTACGCCCTTCTGGCATCCATCCATCCATCACATATGATAAAAAGCACGGGAACAACAACAATGCAAAGTCTCACTAAGAAATTGAATCTCCTCTATTTTATCTCTGCTCTTAAAGTGGGCGTTTTAAACAGCATAAGCAAATCTGAATCAATTTCCAGTGTTCTTGCACTGCACACACTCAGAAGATTGGCTCTCCTGCTGGAAAGAGCACAGATACTGTTTCCTCATTACTGTTCAAACCACTCAATTTCAAACAAGTTCAATTCTGTTTTTACTGTTTAAAAGCTTAAACATTTAATCTGTTTCTACTAGGAAGCTGGGGGAGGGGGTGGAGGCCCAAAGGTCAATGTTCTCCAGTTAAATAATTTGAATTGAGTTAAATTTCTTGAGGCAGTCAGGGTAGGTAATACAACTAGAAATAAACACAGAAAATGAAGAAGAGCAAAGGGGGGGGGGCACTGCCTTTAACAGGCTTGACAAATGACACTGTGATTCACACCCACTGCTAGGCTGCCACTAATAAGCTACAGAGGAAGCAGCCAATCTCGGCTAATTACCAGATAAAATTGTATTGTAAGGACTCTAATTAGGAGATGCTTATGGAGGTGATCTAATGATTAAACACTACATCCGAATGACCCTACCGTCAATGTGCAGCGGTGTAAGATGTCACTGGAATATTTTGTAGAAACAGTAATTTTATTTCAAGGGGAAGGGAGAGGCAGTAATATTTGTAATAATGGCTACGAGGTAAACTCATTAAAAGACTGTTCCTAGAGGAAGACTGTGGCTCTCAGCATCTGTGGCCGTTCCAAAGCAAAGTGCGAAATCTTGACAGAGGAACTGCAGTCAAGTGGAGAATCTCTGCCTGACCTCTGCTCTTGCTATTAATTTGCAGGAAAACTAATGACACATATACATATTCCCACAACATTTTTCTAATTGCTAATTTGCTAAAAGAACCTAGTTCCCAAATTAAACCTGACTGCAGTCTGAGGGGAAAGGGGTAGTAGAGAGGGAAAGCAGTGGGAGCAGAAACCCAGGGAGCTTTGTGCTTCACCAAAGGTAGCTGCTGAATAGGCAGATGGAACATGCTAATGAAACCATGACTTGTCACTTACTATGAAAGTTTTGCTTTTCGAGCTCTTCTGTAAGGATAGCCTCTCGGAGTTTCCACAACAGAGTGCAGAAGAGAACATTTTACGCCAAGGACACTTGATAACGTGCTGCTTTCACTGCCTCAAATACAGATATCAGTTGTGAACTGGAGCAGAACTACGTCATGAATGGTTTTGTTGCAGTATTAAACTACTAATCTCATTATAATTTATTAAACATTCATTGTTTAAACAATCAACAATGAAAAAGGCCTACAGTTAACTAATGACTATTTTATGGGGCAAAGATCAGAAATGGCTAATGATAATAGAGTTTATTTTCTTGATTAACGGGCCACATACATTTATTTATTTAAATAAATTTCTGCTTAAAAACACATTGCTCGGATTTGAGAAGTGGTTGATAAAGACTTTTCCCATGCAAGGATTGCTGCAATTTATTTTGATGAAGTACTGTGTTGCTAGAGGCTAACAGAAGTTACTAACAGAAGCAAGTTTTTGAGGCAGGCTCTATTACCAGTGGCCTTATGCTCTGTTGGTATCTTCAGTTATTACAGTAAGAACTATAATTTTTGGACTGTAAAGGATAGAGAAGGAATTAACAAGTAATCTTTCTCTCTATTGTTAAAAAAACAGTTGTCTTTGTGTTCTGCTAGGAACAAATTCTATACCAGCAGAAGAATATTCAGAAATATAAATTAGTTTGCTTTTTTTGTTTCTAGAACATCTTCTATTGTGTTGCAATTTTCACTACCAAAGGGCTTTAACAATAAGGTATGAGATGTGTACTAATGATCATACATTTTTATACTTGCTTTCTCTCTCACACACCCCGACACATGGATACATATATACTATTATTGTATTACAATGCACGAGCAAAGCTATCCATAATGCACATACTTCCTTTTCTCCAAATTCTTATTTTGTTGTCCCTTTAAGCCTGCACTAATGCAACTTGAAATAGTCATTCCCTACCTGGCCAGCTGAGCATTTGGAAAGCTAAAATAATTTGGAAAAAAATATGACAAAAGAAATATCTTATTTGCATTAAAGGTAAGGTGAGGGGGGGAACCCTCAGCCCTCCCTACTGCTCCCTGAACTCCTACTGAATGGGAAACACACTATAAATATAATTTATGTTTTGTTTTTAAAATAGCTTACATTGGTCTAAGACTGAAAGAAATGTACAAAACCAGCAACCAAGCGGCAAGGAAGATAGCAGGGGACGTGTGGCATATTCTTCTGTGTAAAAATCCAGCAAGCTTTTCTGAGGCCATCTGTGGTGCTTTAAGCCACGGATTTCTCCACCAGGGGTGCTCGCCCTCTTGCCTGGGGCTGAAACGGTTCCTGTAATGGGGTCTTGGGAATTGTGAATTGAATGGTCCTACTCTCAGTGAGGCCCTGAAAGTGGATGGGTGTCGGGACTGTTAGATTTCACCCATGAACATTTTACGTACAAATCTTTAGAAAATATATATATAACTACATGCAACACAAAATTTGGCAGGCAGTGAACACTTAGCAGGTGTTGTTATTGGCAGGGATACTAAAGGAAACCCAAGTTGAAGAGTGGGACTTAATGAAAAACAGTATATAAAAACAGCTTTTGTGTGTTGCATTTACAAATCTTTTTTTTTTTTATTGCTACATATCATTATTTTTCAAACTATAAAGTACAGCTACAGCAGCTAAAATGCTCAGTCATTACCTCACAGTTAAAAGGCTATTTTTAATGCTTTGTTTTTACAGTTGCTAAAAACAGGATTTCAAAACAATCCTAATTGCTGTGGTTAGGGTAAAGGAAAATATATAAAAAAATAGCCAACAGTTATGTCAGCTCTATAAAGATGAATGTATTGCCAGGTATGCAAAAAAAACAAAAAAACAAAAAAAGCCAAAGAAAGAAGAATGCAGGAGTAGCAATTTGTAGCTATGCAGTGCCATCTAATAGCATCTGGCCCTTACTTTTCCTCTACCATCTCATCAGCAGGAATGCTTGAAAATAATGGATTACTGCATTATTACGTTAGAATATAAATGCTTGCGTTTCTGTCACATATACATACATACATATGGAAATCTAATGAGAGCGCCCATGACAATCAAAAATACCAGTGTCCAGTACTGAGGTAGTTTTCTAATTATATTGTGCAATGCTTGGACATAAATGGAGTCTCACTTCAGCATATGAAGATAAACTAGGCTGAGTAGAGGAAATCAGGAAGAGCCTCTCCTCACAAAGCCATGAGGACACGAACACAGATAGTTTTCAGCACCACAGCAGTGGCGTATATGGTATTCTTCATGGGAATGTTTGGGGCTATTTGCAGAATCAAACCAACTCAACTTGGATTAATTACTTCCCAGGGCCAGAACGCTCAAAATGTGCCATATTGCGTTCCGACTGAACACTGAACACTCAAGACATTGCATTCCGTGGAACAATCAACTCTAGATGTTCTGTTTCATGCACTCCTACGTTTGATCCTGTGAGAAACACCTATGATAACCAAATCATATTCGACAAAGGAATTCATTGCCCAACAAAGTTCTACCTGTCTTTGAGATTATTACGACTATTTTAAGGTAGGCAATGCTAGCTTTTGAAATTCTCACCAACTTTCCCCTGATCCAAAATGACCAAGTTGTAATTTTAAATCCCAGGTTTTTTAAATAGAAAATATTAAACTTAACTTACACCTTACATCTGGTTAGGAGGAGAAAAGAACATTAGTTACAAGGTGTAAAGAGGATCGTGTGCTGTGCTATTGGTCATCAGCTCTCTTCTAGCCAGAATTATATGCTGCTGAGTTTAAAAAGGCCAGACATCGACTCTGTGATACCTGTATTATTCTCCCCCTGTCCTTGCAGGGACAGCATATATGCAAAATACTATATTTCTACATTTTATAATTAATTTTTGAATCCTTCACTTATACATATTTTAATAATTTCTGATTTATCTGATGATATCTGTAATAAAATTTCCTATATTCAATAAATGAAAAGAAGGCTGTTTCAATCCAATAACAGAGTGTCACACAATATAGTCCTGTCAGGCACCAATTTTTACTTCTAACGTGTACGTTAAAGGATAAGGATTTATAATGCTGCCTATGAACGAAACCACTTTTCATACACAAATGTGATCTTTTTTTTCCAAAGGGTAATACAACAGTACATTTACATAAACTAATCCAAACAATCTATGTATTTGACAATGGCAAACCTCACACAGACTGCCTATTGTTGGTTTACATCTTGGAGTTCTTTATGTTGGCTTGTAACACTGCCCTAGCTGTCAAAGGTTTGACTTGGCCTCTAAATAAATGGTTATACAAGTGCTGTGCAGTGATATTGGACTGCTTTGGAAAAGAAACCTGCTGTGTATGAATTCAAAAGCTATTAATTTTTCAGTCAAAAATATTCATGCCTATTTCTTTTAATAGAGAAACACTGTGCTGAGCAACTGAGAGATAATGTTGACTAGTGGCACAGCATTTTCAATAGAACAGTTAAAAATAAATTTAGTGGGAGGCCCCATCAAAGCTATAATTTTCCAGAATGTAAAACATTTTTAATACTGATCAAGACAGTGCATCCTTCCTTCCCTTTGGTCCATTTTATTTCCTTCTGAGCTGGCCCACTTATTGGTTGTGCAGCAGTCCTTACTGTGGGATCTCTAATCGGTACTGCTAGTGTTTATTAGCAAAAATTCCTGAATTTTGAGTAGTGAGCACTGGAAAACTGACTAAACTGTTCTGGCCATATTGCACTTGCCTTCAGACAGATCAGAGGGGAAATGGGCCTTCAGATATTTTCATCCTGCAACTGACATTTGGCCATGCTGGTTGGTGTACCTTCCTTTGGTATGTCTTTCTGGGGAGGAAGATGGAGGGATAATAGTTATCCACAGCTCACCCTCCGAAGTACACCATCTGTTGCAAGATTCTAGTACTGAAATTCTACTTAAAGTCTCACATTTGGTATGAGCCAGATGGTGCTCTGCTAGAGAACTGTGAGGGAGGTAATCCAGGGCTCTGCAAATCATTTGTAGAACAGTTCTAGCAATGAATGGAGCACCACTCGCGTATGCATCAAAGTAACCACATCCTCCTGAAGGTTTGGTATGTAGCTTTGAGAGTTTTTCCCAGGTTGTCTGTACATGCATCTGTTGTTTGCCGCCAGTACCAGCTAATGTATCTTCTGTGCATGCACAAGGGAAATCCTCAAAGTAGTTGTCCCAAACCTTTGTGAGGATGCAGTTGTCTCAACACTTCAAGTAGCTTTACTTCACTTGTTATTCAAAGTACTTTTTCCAATGATTTACACTCTCCTAGGATCTACATGCCTCTTGATGTGACTGCAGAAGTGCTGCTATTATCTGTTAGAGAATTTAGGAGCACATTTGGGGATGGATCCATGAAAAGAAAACAAAATAAACGTTTTTCATATGGTCCAAGCTGTCATGGAAGTTCCAGATGTTGGAAGATAAGGTTACACAAAATGAATCTCTTAGCTCTGCCTTATATTTTAAAAACAATCACACTATTTTTACCACTCAAAAAATACTCTACTCCACAAAAAAAATCTGCACATAGATGTATTAAAACAGGGAAAGGGATCAGGGATTTGAATAAAATGCTCTATCTTAAATTAAAATATAATTTACATATCAAAATCAAACTTGCTTATCTTAAAAGCTAATGCCCCCCAACCTTTTAAATATGAGGTTTTTAAGGTTTATTCCTCTCCTGATAATAGTTATCGTTGAAAGAGAAAAAAAAAATTGCAGTACACATTACAGACATAAAACAATTACTTTGCACCTGTTTTCCTGGAAAAGACATTATTTTCCAGTTTTCCCAGAAATCAAATCCTTAACTAGGTGGACCAGTAGAAGCTAAGGGAAGCCCCTCTGCTAAGAAATAAGTAGTGGACAGGCGTGTCAACCAAATTATGGGGAACACCCTAGTCTGCTAATGTTCTAGTGAATTTATTTCCTGAATAATGTTCAAAAAGTGTGCTGTTATCCAAGAAAGCTAACAGTACAATAAATCTTAGTTTTTAAGATGCCACAAGGCTATTCATTATGTCGTGTTCATTACAACACAGACTAACCCAGCTATCTTTCCACTGACGGTCCCTGAGTAATAAAGGGTTTGCTAATCTTGTTATTTCAAAATGGCCTGCATTTGTGCTGCTCTCTCAGATAGAAAGACATGGTGGAGGCAAAGCTTTATTTACTCTGTGGAGGTACTTACAGGCTGAGGGGCAGCTTTTGGTTCAGTTGATTTCACATGCAGGTGGGTCATCATAGCTTGCAGGCGCTCCTTGTCTTTTGCCAGCTGAACAGGAACGAGAAATGTAAACGTGACTTTTGTGAACAGAATCCAGAATGGTTCTTCTCTATTTAAACCCTGGCACGGTAGCTGGCGCATGACAGGAAAAGTGCATAGCATTACTTCCCTGTGACTTGGAAATGTGATAAGACCCCTCCCTGCCATTTTTTAAAGCAAAACAAAACTTTTGGTGGTGGGTATCAGCTTTTTGCTAAGATGCATTAGAGGTCTTGACTGAAGGAGGTCTAGACCTTCAGGCTCCAGGGGGGTTGCTGAAGCGATGAGGGAGAAAAAGACACGAAGGAATTGCATTTACTAACCAGCCCTCTCCACATGAATGCTAGGAGACAAACCGCAAGGGACTCCTAGGTGACTTTAAAAGTTGCCTCCTCCTCCTCCTTTTCTTAAACATCCCACTCCATACTTTTTAAAACTTGGCTACATACCCTCTATTAAGGTATGAGGCTGAAATGTAAAATGTTAAATGAACAGTGTCAGCTTTAGGGAAGGGGACAGGCAACCATTTACAGAAGGTAAATGTTTGTTCTCTTATAGAATAGATTACACTTCGGTGGAGAAAAATCAACAAGCTTTCTTTTTCACATTTGCTTGAAGCTAGGAGGATTGTAGCTGAGTATGGTTTTTTGTGACCCAGTTTTGTCTTTTAGTACAGATTGGGTGATGCACTTATTAAAATTGATTTGTAACTCATGAGCCAACTGGCATGAATTCTGGAGGTTGTTCTCCTACTGACCTGTGGTTTTAAACATAAAATACAAGTGTAGCTCTAGCCCCTGACAAAATTCTCTCCCACACCAGCCTTTTCATTCTATTGATGAAACATCCAGGCAGGCATATTGATATGACTCAGAACTCTGGTGTACTGGAGCGACAGAGAAGCCCCAGTAAATTAAAACAAAAAACAAAATCAAAAACAAAAAGTTAAAATATCATGTTCCTTTTTTTCAAGAGGTTTTTCAAAATGCTTTACCTTTTTACAGTCTCACAGATTTTAAAAGTGGTAGCTCATACACCTAAACCATTTACTAAAACGTAATAAAAAACTACTTGATGACTCAGCACCATTTAAAAAGTATTATTTCGCTGTCTCCAGGGGCAGAAAGAGAAAAAGAATCTTGCATGTTCCCTATGAATTCTAAACTTTCCAAACTAGAGACCCTCCACGCATAGATGGAATCATCCATAATACTCAGTCTTAACAGTACCAGCAAGTTTCTAATTCTTGCCACTTTGACTGATTCAGGAAAGTGATAATGCTTCCATAATCAGCAGGGCAAAAATCCAGGATGAAGTCCTAATTTTCCATGTATTTTACAATTCTATGTCCCATTAGCTCCAGCCAGCATGGCAGCGGGTGTGGGGGATGGTTGGTATAGTCCAACCATATCTGGCAAACCCACATGGTCTATTCATGCCTTGGGGTTATTATAATGCATTCATGGTTATACTCCCAGATGCGCATGAGATTTTGCTGTGGTTGACTGAGGTATGCACACAGGAGCATCCGTGTTTGTGTATGTGTAAGAGAGCGAGAGAATGAATGAGAATAGGGCCTGCTTTATGGAAGTTTAGTGGCTACAGGAAACACTGCAAGGTAAGAGTTGCACTAGATACCTACCTACTTGTTTGAAGTGGCTGACCCAGTGACTGAATCATTTTTCACTATGATACTGCGAACTGCCAACTAAATTACAGGCCTAAAAAATCTCTCCTGTGTGAAACTTATTCCTCTGGCCTGATATTATTGCCTGATTCAAATGAAGGCTTTTTTTTTCTGAGTGAAAATGAGAGGAAAGATAGGAGCAAGATATGAATATTGTTTTGTGCCCAGTCCTTCTGAAAAGAACTAAGGCCAAAGTTTAAATGGATCCAGTATTTTGGAATCCAGAATTTTCAAATTCCCATTGGGGAATTCTTCATCTGATCAGAAAATTGATTAGGTTTTATACCTCGCCCAACTATAAACTATTACCAGTTGCTATACAGTAAATCAATGTAGGATGGCAGATCCATTGTTCTGCTCTTGAAAAAGAACATCAACTCTCTTATTATAGTGTTATCTTCCTTGAGGCTAAAACTAGGCTCCATTACTCCTTATGCCATCTAGTTGGCATACAAAACATGCTGGGCTTAATAGGAATGAAGATACAAAAATATCCTACCCAATTCAGCATATTAATAACATGAATAACCTGATTAACAGATACATCACAAATGCTGAATTCCTAGAGGAAACTATGGCCAACTTGCCCAGCCAAGCTATCTTATCATAAGGGTACATACCAGCTCCTCCAATAAAATCAACATACAGGTAGTCCTCAGTTAACTACCATTTAGTGACTGTTCAAAGTTACAATGGTGCTGAACAAGGAAACTTATGACCAGTCCTCAAAGTTGCAGCTATCACAGCATCCCCACAATCACATGATTGCGATTTGGGTGCTTGGCAATCAGCTCGCAATTTCAACAGTTGCAGTGTCCTGCAGCCACATGATCATCATTTGCGACCTTCACTGCTGGCTTCTGACAAGCAAAGTCAACAAGGAAAGCCAGCAGCAGATCACAAATGGTGATCATGTGATGTCACGCTTAACGACTATGTGGGATTCGCTTAAGAATCGCAACTGGGACTGCCAGAACTGTGGTCATAAGTCGGCATGGTCATGTGATGTTGCGCTTTATGACCGCGTTGCTTAGCGATCGAGTTGCTAGTCCCAAATACCATTGTTAACCGAGGACTACCTGTATTAAATACTGAATAATATGATTTCAACTATAATTTCTGTTCCTAACCATTTTGAAAACGTATAGCTTGTAAACCACTTTCATGGTGATTATTTATGAAATTAATTTTGCTACCAATCCCACCCCTGCTATTATTTTGGTGGGATTTCATGTCATACATTTTCTTCCTTGAAATCCTCCAAAGGTATCTGAAGGTGATTTATGATCATCTTCCCTTCTGTCAACTTGAGATGCTGAGCACAAGGAGCAACAATGACTGTCCCAAGCTGTCCTGCTGCAGCTCCAGTAGCAATAAAAATACTAGAACCATCACTCCCCTCCTCAAAAGAGGAAAAAGAACAACCAAGCAGACTGGTATATTTGTTTGATGTGGAATGGAAGAGGGAAATTGACAAGGCACTGCTTATTTTGTCTGGACTAGCAGGTGAGAGCTGCAAGCAGTCAAGCTAGCATTTCCCTTACAGGACCTGAACTTCAGGAGTTAGGAGGAGGAATGAGACAAGTGTCCTAAGCAATGAGTAAGCACAGCCACAGCAACTCACTCCTTCCTTCCTTTCAAAAAAGCTTCACATATAATTGCTGGACAAATAACATTACATTTGAACTAAGTCATTATCATGTAATAGAGTTCTAGCCTATTTCTCAATGCCGTTCTACATACTGGTGTCAAATATGAACTTCCAGATTCTTCGTTCTGGATCCACGGACACCTTTTAGGCCATAGCCTTTTTGTCAGGTCTGTCCTGGGCTAGTAATATTAGTCCCTGCATCCCACTGTTTACTAGCCATATAGATGTTGGAAGAAATCTTGCAGAAATTTGGCAGGGAGCTAATGCAAATGTCTTCTGCTAGGAAACAGCTGTAATGCAGTCTAGTTTTGGCTCTGGCATGACTACAACTGGAAAACAGACCTTGACAGTTTTTGATTGAATTTGTACATCACACTAGGAAGAAGATCTTCTACCCCTGCAATGGTCCCAAACTGGAACGCAGGTAGTTTTATCCTATGGCATGTGGAGACTGACCCCATATATGGAAATGGTCAAAATAAGTTAAGATCTTTAGCAATCTGTAGAATAACAGCCCTGAAATCAAAGACTGAGTCCAAGTGAGATATCCCTGTAGTTAAGCATATCATCTTTCTCTTTCCTTCAGCTTTTGGAAAAATAAAATTGTTAACAGGAAGGAAAGCAAAGTTTATGGAGTTTACTGCATTCTCTGCCTGGGTCTCCTGGAAGACCTCCATTTATTGCATCAAAACTGTCACAGGGCAGAATAAAGATAATGACACAAAATCAATTTTACTACTGGATAGTGATTGGTAATTGGAAACTCAAATATAACTAACAACAGGATAATTCATTAATTGGACAGGGACTAATTTTGTACTTCCTTTAACCCCCTATCTGTGTTCTAAATTCCAAATTTCATTCAAAGCTCTCACTACTTATATAAATTCCATTTATATACTTACATAAATTCCATTTATATGAGTAGTGAGAGCCTTGAATGAAATTTGTTTTTATTTAAGCTTGAATGAAATTAGTTTTTCCTGAAAACTTCTAAAGAAAACTACCTGCGTTCCAGTTTGGGACCAATGCAGGGGTAGAAAATCTTTTTCCTAGTGTGATGTACAAATTCAATCAAAAACCGTCAAGGTCTGTTTTCCAGTTGTAGTCATGCCAGAGCCAAAAGTAGACTGCGTTACAGCTGTTCTACAGCTCTTAATTAACTGTGTTGAAATACTGGTATTTGAACATTGTTATATTTGGGATGGGGGGCGGGGGGCGGGAAGGCTTTTCTTAAGTTGCATTGGGGAGAAAGCATATCATAGACATGACATGACAACAATTTTACAGGAAGTAAAATATAGGTTATGGGACCAAAAAGATATTCAGTTTTGAGATAAGAAGATAAAAGGGATTTTCAAAAAGTAAGTTATGATATAAAATATCAATTATAATTATCAGGAAAAGTAACAACAAAAAGTTTAAGTTGATTTTTCTTGAAAATTATTTGAAGCTCTGAATGACTAACTCAGTAAAATTCCAAATGTAATTATCTTCCGCAGTTAGCCCACGGCTTTCCATATATCTCTACAGTGTCATCTTGCATACAAAACAGGACACATTTTTTGAGGAATGGTAGCTATGTAATGTACAACATTCTTTTAATTTGCCTTCTTTGGCTGTCCTTTTGCTTACTGTCTTTCACACAAAGAAAGTTAGGCCACGAAAAGCATTTAGGCATATTCAGACAGGGTGTGAGTGCGTTTTTAAATTTCCTTATATTAACGGGTTGTAATAATATAGCAATTGCACATCTTTATAAATTCTAATTTTATTCCTTTAACAAATCCATTAGAAACTGATTATATGTAAATAGATTGGGGCACTGACATAAATCAGGGTTTTAAATTATAATAATAAAGTATATGATAAAAATAATGTTCTAGGTCAGTGAGTAAAGTCATTTACAATCTAATCTTGGTCAAGATTTAAAAACCAACATGGGCTATTTCCACCCATTCTGTACACCGTGTGCATGCACATTCATCACCAAACCAGACTGTGAGTGTAAGACATATTCAACATGTACTGATAATTGCAAAGAATTTAGTGCACTCAAGCTTCAATTTCTTTTTAAAGTTATAGCAAAGAGGAAGCCAAGCTACAATCTCTGCAATAGCATTTAGAAATTAATCTAGTAAATTCTGAAAGCGCTTTTTCAAAGTAGAACAGGGCAAAGCAAAACTCTCTCTTCTAGTGACAATTTATACTGAGGCAATATTAATATAAAATACTGTTTTTACCTGCAACTCTAACTGTTGTACAACTTGCATCTGTACTCTACACTGGGCTGTACTTCTATCATCCAGCGCGTGTTCACTGTTGAGATGT